TCACCTCTCTGTTGAGAGTCCCTACTCTTCATTCATGTGTGTCTTTTGCTGTAAGTTTTTGAGATTATTTATAATAGGGCTTTTAAATTCCTTGTCTGTGAATTCCAACTTGGGTTGTTGCAAGGTTTTTTTATATTGATTTTCTTAAACTTTTTCCATGACTTCACTTCCATAGGAAAAGAAAATAAACTTATGCCAGAAAGATTTATCACTCCATGTTTAAAACTACATAATACATTAAAAATGTACAATTTTCTACTATTAAAATTTGATAAGTAAAAGAGCTGATTGATAAAGAAGTAGATAATAGATTTTAAATGAAAATGGGATCAAGCTAAAATATATTATTTTGATTTTTACTGAACATACTGTAACATGTTTTCAAATTAATAAGTTTGTATTGATATTCTATCACTTCTAAGGATGCATGGTATTACAGTATATGGAGGTATCATATTTGATTTGGGCAATCCTGATTGTTTTTACTTTTTCACTTTTATTACCAACACTGCTGTGAAGTTTGTTTCCTCCATGTGTATTTTCTTTATCTTGCTTCATTCTTTCCCCAACATTAAAATTACTTTCTCATGATTTGTTTTTAATTGGGGTATAATTGATATACAAAATTACATTAGTTTCAGGTATAAAACATCATGATTCGATTCTTGTATATATTGTGAAATTATCACCACAATAAGTCCAATATCCATCACCAAGTACACAATTTTTTTTTCTTGTAATGAGAAACTTTAAGATTTACTCTCTTAGCAACTTTCAAATATGCAAAAGTGTATCATTAACTACACTCCTCATGCTCTACGTTAGAGCTCCATAATTACTTCTTCTGTAACTGGAAGTCTGTAGCTTTTGATTCCCTTTACCCATTTCATCTATCGCCTACCCACCAATCTGTTTTCTTACTCTCTGCATCTATGAGCTTGTTTTGTTGTTTTTATGGTTTTTCTTTGTTATGATTTTAGATTCCACATTTATGTGAGATCATGCGATATTTGTCTTTCTCTATCTGACTTCTTTCACTTAGCATAATGCCCTCAATTTCCATCCATGTTATTGTAAATAGCAAGGTTTCATTCTTTTTTATGGCTAAATATTTCATTTATATATATATATATCACAGTTATAACTATAGATATAGATGTATGTGTGTGACTAATAAAGTTTCACAATACCCACTTAAGGAATTATGGGCTCTTGGTGTTGCCAGTTGTTCCTGATTGGCCCTTTGATGTATGTGCATGTACACGCACACACACACACACACACACACACACACACCCATTTTGTATGTGGTCAAATCTGTCAAACTTGTCCCGTTTTGTGATTGATGTTAGGATTAGAAAAGCTCTATTGCTAGATTATATAAATATTTATAATTGTTTTTAGTATGATAGTGAGTTTAGAATAGGAGAGCACTTGGGGATTGTGTAAATGTATCCAATTCCAGCTGTGTCATTAACTAGTTGTAACAAACTATTTTCCAAAGATGGCTGCAGCAATTTCTCCCATACCACAAACTCTCCTACAACTTTGCTACTCTTCAATCAAAAAGTGAAACTTTCACAGGCTTATAACTCACCTATAACTAACAGAATGTACCAGAAGTAATGATGCATGACTTCCAAAGATAGCCCATAAAATGTGATACAATTTCCACGTTGTTAGAATACACACTTTTCTTTAGAGCCCTAAGCTTCTGTTTAGGAAGTCTGGAGTCTCCATGCTGTGAAGGGGCCCAAGAAACATGAAGGGTCCATATGGAGGTATTCCGACCACCAGCTCCCGGTGACATCACAACTTATACCAGGGTCAACTGTAAAGACATGTGAGTGAAGACACCTCAATATCATTCCAGTCTCCAGTTCTTGAATCACCTACTGACTCTGAGTCTTCCCAGTTGAAGTCCCAGACATCAGGGAGCAGAGACAAGCTATTCCCACTCTACTTTCTCAACTGTGACCATAGTACCAGTCAATACAATAGTATTTTTATTCAGGAGTGATAACTGGAAAACCACAGGACACTTGTCAAATTATTATATTCATCCATACTTGTCAAGTTATCCAGTTGGCATCTGGGAAACCCATCTGTTCTTCAGGTTTCTCATCTATTAAATTGTCTTACAATAATAGCTACTTTCTAGGGAGTTGTGAAGATTAAATGAGATCACACATGAAATGTACTTAACATATGTCTAGCAAACTCTAAAAGGTCAAACAATAATAGTCATGACAGTATTTAAAAGTAAGGTCTTTTGTTTATTATGCTTAAATCTTTCATACATGTGAAATTTGTTTTGGTCTAATGTGTAAGGTTGTATGGATTATTTACCAGTCAACTCCAAGTTAACACTTAGATTAGTAGTCAAATTACCACCTCTTATTTATTTTTATTTTTTTAAAGATTTTGTTTATTTATTTGACAGAGAGAGATCACAAGTAGGCAGAGAGGAAGGCGGGGCGGGGGCAGGCTCCCCGCTGAGCAGAGAGCCCAATGCGGGGCTCGATCCCAGGACCCTGAGATCATGACCTAAGCCAAAGGCAGAGGCTTAACCCACTGAGCCACCCAGGTGCCCCAAATTACCTTTTAAGATATATGTGAAGAAAATTCTCCTGCATCATTATATGTGCAGATATGAGAGAAGAACGTGTGTGTATCAGAGGAGTGATACTTGGGGGTGGTATCATGTGGATAAAGAAATTTTCACCTAGGTCTTACTGTGTTCATTTGGGCAAGTTGGAAAATGGAACTAAGAAGAAAATCCCAAAATGGGATGAGCCAAAAGATAATCTCCAAGTTTAGAGCATTTTTATCTAGGTAGTAAGGAAGCCAGCAAGAGTCTCTTTATTCACGAGGAGGAGTGCATTTAAACCCTACACTCACAGGTCACTCCTAGGTGTCAAAACGTAATTTCATTTTCTAACCTAACTTCATCTTGTTTTAGAGTTCCATTCCTAGTGATGGTGGAAAACATTTGGTCTTCTCAGCTCACAATATTGGTGGCAGGGAGGGGGTGGAAACAGAAGCAAAAGATGTCAGGCAAAAAGTGTTAACAAGAACATGGTCTCAGCTGGAGATGGGATTTAGTCAAATCTTGTGGAAGAGCTCTGGAGCACATAATGCGCCCCAGACTTAGTCCCATCGTGATGTAAGGAGTCACCCTTTTATTGGGTGAGGTCTGTGCTCATGATGGGAGCTTAGCATCTGGGCAAGGCAGCTCCCATTTAGCAGAGGGCAAATCTGCAGAGTAGTAAACAGCTCTGAGTTGCCCTGAGCCAACACTCAATGCAGCTGGATGGCAGAAGCACTGGTCAGCTAGGAGGATTGGGGCAGGGCACCAAAACCAAATGAAGGCCATTTACTACATTAAAAAAATTTTTTTGATGCTCTGATCCTGAGAATGCCAACATTTGCTCTTGAGCCATCTAGGAAAGATTTTATAATTAGAACCCTCTTCTTGTTCAACAAAGCCAAGCTTTGTCCAAACAATGATGCACAAATATTTTTAAAGTCTCTTTTGAGACCCAATGAAAAACAATGATCTCTCTCTCTATCTTTCCCCCTAGACAGGTATCTCCTATCCCCAATGATTCAACGGGTGAGTAAGCCCATAATACAAATAGGAATAAAAATATGTTTTTTCCCTAACTCAAAATACCCATGTTACATTGGCTTTTCCAATCTGCTTGTCCATTTTTAAAAGGTTGTCATGTCTTTCTTCATTCTGGCTCCATAAAATCCCAACTGAGAATTCCTCAGAAAGGAACATATTCTCAGACACAGAGAGCATACCAAATGACTTGAGTAGAGGGGTGGTTGGTTTATCATTAAACATTTCATGTGGCCTAATGAGGGAGGAAAAAGCTCATGGAAATCGGGGACCAGGAACTTCAGTGTGCCTCCTAAGGAGAGAAATGCCAGAGTTATTCTGTACCCAAGGAAGCTTCACCACCTTGGCCACACTCCACCATCAGTGCTACTCCATTCCTCTCTGCCTGTTTATTCCACTCAGTGTCTGGGGGCTTCTCTTCCCACCACTACTAACTTCTGCTCTCTTATACCCTTTGTTTACTCATAATTTCATCTTATCTGGGAACTTTCTAACTACAACCCTACCCATGGCATCTCTGTTCGTTTTATTATCTTCGACTACCATGCCATCTGCTTTATTATTCACATTTCCCCCTTCATTCTTTTTCACCCCTTCATTCTTATAAGGAGCGCTGGCCATCCTTGCACAAGGTCTCCATTCCCAATTAAATCACTGAGTTCAATCTGGTGCTGGTTGGTCATGTGGCCAGCCAGGACCCTGATAATTCAAGCCAATTTCACCCACACCAAATTGTCTCTCAAATCCTAGTTTCCACAGTATTATGCTGAGTGAAATAAGTCAATCAGAGAAAGACAATTATTATATGATCTCCCTGATACGAAGAATTTGAGAGGCAATGTGGGAAGTTTGGGGGGTAGGGAAGGAAAAAATGAAACAAGATGGGATTGGGAGGGAGACAAACCATAAGAGACTTTTTTTTTTAAAGATTTTATTTATTTATTTGATAGACGAAGATTACAAGTAGGTGGAGAGGCAGGCAGAGAGAGGGGAAGGGAAGCAGGCTCCCTGCTGAGAAGAGATGTGGGGCTCAATCCCAGGACCCTGGGATCATGACCTGAGCCGAAGGCAGGGGCTTTAACCCACTGAGCCACCCAGGTGCCCCCCATAAGAGACTCTTAATCTCACAAAACAAACTGAGGGTTACTGGGAGAGAGAGGTAAGGAGAGGGTGGTTGGGTTATGGACACTGGGGAGGGTATGTGCTATGGTGAGTGCTGTGAAGTGTATAAACCTGGCGATTCACAGACCTGTACCCCTGGGGCTAATAATACATTATATGTTAATAAAAAATAAAAAAATTTAATAAAAAAATCTTAGTTTCCACAAACAGAAAGGTCCCTACAATTTCCCTTAATGCCTCATCCCTATGCCTGTCCAATTTTCTTTCTGCCTGAGATTCCCCTCCTCCAAGAGCTCTACTAAAGAAAGATATGGCTCATGTTGCCAACAAATTGGGAAGCCAGAGTTTTCTTCTTTTATCTCCATAACCCATGGGTAAAAGGAGAGCACCAGGAGATATCAGGGCTAATCCAAAGAGAATCTCAACTGCAACCAGAAGAGTGGATATAGATGAGCATAAAGAATGGTCACAGAGTTCTCAGCACAAGTTCAGGATTTCCAATTCTTTGCATTACCATACAGGAGATAATAACCAGTTCCAAACCCAATCCTATTTGCGGCAACTCTATTTCCATCATAAGGAAATCAAAACTGCCAGATGTGAGCAACAGGGATTTGCAAAGGTCAGTCTAGTCTAGTCCTCCATCATTAATGAGACTCACTACTCTCCCCTCTCTGTCCTTATGACTTTCACCAACTGGCTTTCTCACTCTCTACCCTTGGTTGAAAGAGGAGATCCAAGTACAGGTTTGGGGGAAGAGATAAAGGGAATGGTGAGTTGAAGAATGAGCCAGTCCAGGAAAGCTGCTGAGCTAGACCCCCTCAGGGAGGTTGCAATAGTTACTATGATTGCAACAGATGAGCTGTGTCCTTTTTTCAAAACTCAGGAAGTTGATGTCCTCGCAGTTGGTCATACATGACAGTTTAGAATAATAGTACATACTCCGCCCTGAGGACATGAAAGAGAGAGAACACAATTGTAATGACTCCACTTCCTCCTATCCTGTTCAGAGGAATAACCTCTCCTCAGAGCTCCAAGAGCCATTTGCTAAGCCCAAATGAGCTACAAGGCTGAGTCTACTCATTATTGACCAGAGAATGGACTGTATTTCCCCAACTGATAAGAGATGTCAACCTTTCCTTTACTCAATATTGTCTTGGGGAATAATGCATTTTTGCCATCCCCTCTACAGGACCGCCCCGTCTTCAGCCACCCACTCCCCCATGCACAGGTGGTTATCTCTCGGCCACTCTCTACCCCAAGTTACCTTTTCTTGTAAGGAAGTAAAGGTTCTCAACAGCACAGGACTGTTGGTCCTTTAGGGTGCAGGTCTTCATGGTGTCATAGCACAACCCAAGATGGTATTTTCCACATTTATAGCATGTGTTGGTAATCTCTGCCAGACACAGAAAGAGCTCTTTAAAGGATGGAGTCTGAAGATTCTCCAGGCCTGTGGGTTTCTCTATAGGAACTTACTATTGCCTGGTGGTTCAGAATCTTTCTTTGGCCATTGACTCCTATGATAATCTTGTGAACAATAACTTATACAGACATGAATCAATTGTTGTATATGATCTCAAAAGATCAGAGTTCCCAGGAAATTTATCTATGGGCCCTTTATTTTTTTTAAGGTTTTATTTATTTATTTGACAGTGAGAAAGAGATCACAAGTAGGCAGAGAGGCAGGCGGGGGGTTGGGGGGAAGCAGGCTCCCCGCTGAGCAGAGAGCCCGATTTGGGGCTCGATTCCAGGACCCTGGGATCATGACCTGAGCTGAAGGCAGAGGCTTAACCCACTGAACCACCCAGGCTCTATGGGCCCATTATTTAACCTGATGATCTCATACAGTCATAGGGGAAATGAACAAAGAGACTTCAGCTTCCTTACTCTAAAAAATGGACTAAATTAGTCTAAGACGAGATATAACTCCTAAGATTATTGAGTAAGAATGGATTACAGCCCTCTCTGAAGTTTGAGAGGTTTTTCTCTTCAACCTGTCACAAACGACCTGTTTACAAAGGATTGTAGACTAGTCATAGTTGTACCTCTCAGATGTTCCTCCAATTCACCTGGGGAAAAAAAAGAAAAGCCTTCTTTGTCATAACCTCATACACATCTGCCAAAGCCCGAAGAGCCAGCTGTGGAAATTTCCCCTTCCCCAGCCCATCTCTTAATCAACAACAGCTCTCCCTCTACCTCCAGGACTTACCCTTACTTGAGCAGACCAGAAAGACTATGCCCAGCAGAAACACAACAAACATCCTGGAACTTTTGTCATGTACAATTTCCTGTGGAAAGCACTGGTTGATCTCCACCAGTGATCTGTCTTTGGACTATTCATCCAAATCACGTAATCATAAAATTTCAGGAACAGACAGTAACTCAATGTTCCCAGAACTAAGCCACCAACTTAAGTCTCACTACCCCAAAGGGATCTATTTTTTTTTAAGATTACTTATTCATTTACTTGAGAGAGAGAGGGCATGAGCAAGGGGAAGGAGTGGAGGGAGAGGGAGAAACAGATTCCCCACTGAGCAGAGAGCCTGATGAGGTCTGGGTTTGAGGACCCCAAGATCATGACCAGAGCCGAAGGCAGATGCTTAACCGACTGAGCTACCCAGGAGGCCACCCTGTCCCCACAAGGCATCTATTTAAAAATTCCCCTGAATGATAAGATCAATGGTACAATTTATATAATTTAAAATATAATATAGAATTATATAGAATATATTATGATACATAACACATAATATTGTTATATGTTATATATATAACATATAATGTTATGTTATATTTGTGTTACTTTACATATTATTACATATAACATAATAATCTATATTATAATCTAGAAATAATATGTACCATACTCTAATATATATATTAATACTCTAATATATATTACTCTAATATATAATATATACTCTAATATATATTATATATATAATATACATACTCTAATATATATTATAATATACATGTATATAATTTCTAAGCCTTGTGCTTTGCAAGTAGAATCAAATTTCTCTCCTACATTTTAACCTTTCAGGTATTTCAAGACAGGATTTGGACATCTAGTTCTTTTTATCTCTCTTCACTAACCTGGTCACTTTCCTCAGAACAATTTCAGATTTGTCTCTCTCCAATGGAGATTGAGACACCAGAACAAAGCTCAGACTCCAGGTGTAGTCTGGATGTGGAGGTGGGAACACTGGAGTATCCCTTTTGTGGTGGAAGAAAGGGAAACTTCAGGGAAAGGGTGAGGAAAAGGTGAAGTTTGTCAGGTTTGCCCTCAGGTATTACCAATTAATTGACTGATACTCTCATAAATAATTTCTAGGGATATACCAAATGCCAGTATCCCAGGAAGAGAAGAGGTCAAGCAGCCAGGACACGACTCAGTGGCCTCACAGAGGCTAAAGTCTAGTCAAAGACATCAAAAGGACACCAAGCCCAGTTGGCTAGGAACATCAGGGTGAAGGACATTCAAATGTGATGAAGCTTTCCAAGAAGAAGGGGTGTTGAGCAGGACTTTGAGGGCTAGCAATGTGTTAGGTGGAAAAAGTAAGTAGGGACAGGCACCCAAAGGAACAGATATGTCAAGAGTACAGAGATGTCAAACAGCTGTCACACTGTGAGGAGAGTGGGTCATGTGGCTGCAGAAACACAAGTGAGCCAGAGACTCCGGCACAGAGACACAGCTTGGTGGACATGATGGCACGTGGGTGAAGAGAAGGGCTCAAGGGGACACTGCACTGGTCTTGCTGCTGAGACTCCTCATTTGTAGGATGAAGTTTCTTGCTCACTACAGTGTAAGTTCAAGATGTCAGTGAAAAGAGCTCTTTTCCCAGAGTTGGGAAACCTATGAAAGTATGCGCTCTTCTGCACCAATACTGAATTCTGGAAAGGACGCTTCCCTCAATCCCAAACTTAAGTTTGTGACACATATGGACTTGAATCCTGACTCTGCTGTTTGCCGACTTTGTGACTTTGGGTGAGTTCCTGATGTTGAGACTAACCGTCGTCTCTTATAGGATTAGTATTAGGGTTATATTCAAGTTTGTGAAAAAAAAGAAGCTCATATTTGTTAAGGCCCTGGAAACTATCAAGCACTAACTGTCTGTGCAGTGCTTACAGTTCCATGGGCCGTTTCACTAGGGTGGGCATCAGAAACTTCCATCATCAGGAGTCATATAGAAGAAGGACATCTGGTTAAGCAAGGCACAGGGTAGTGGCTAGCTGTGGTTCTGGCATTTGAGGGGCAAGAGCCTGGCTGTGACGGTGGGGGGGGGGTACCAGGCGCATCCAGTCAAGGGTTAACTTTCAATAAGATGGACATTTGGCTTTGGGTATTCAAAAAGATGGGAAGTTAGTAACCACCTCTTCTAGAATGGACCTTGAAGATAGAAAGTCAGATTCAGAACTAGCTCTAATTTGCCTTGCACAAATGAGCAGCTAGGAACAAGCTGAGTACTGACTCACTGGACTGGGTGAGAATTGGGTCCATTCTTACAGCTTAGGGTATGCTCCGTATGCTGATGACATGCAGTTTTACAAGTCTGTCTCAGACCCCTATTCTGACTTCCAGACTCCCGTCTACAAATCTCCTTCCACTTCGGAAGGCTCAAGTACCATAATTTCAGGCTGCCTCAAAATGAAATCATAATCCTTCTGGTTCACTACATCTGCTCCTACTTCAGTGTTTAGGGGTTCAATAAACCTGGGAAGAATTTCTTATAGATCCCTGTGCCTCAGCCTCAAAGAGAATCTAACAGGAAGTCTTATCCGTTCTACTTACTAACTTCTCACATGGGTTTATTTTTCTCTGTCCCACTGCCACTACTCTAATCCAATCTGTCTTCATCTCTCACCTGGTCCAAGGAAATTTTCTTTTCTTTGCCTGTCTGCTTCTATTCTTGCCCAATTATAGTCAATTCTGTATAAGGGGGTCAGACAGCACTTTTACAGGTCCTGGATGCCACACGCCTTCTCAAGACCCTCCAGTGACTTTTCATCACTCTTTGAAGAAAATCCAAAGCTCCTCCCACCGCCTGGAAAGTCTTCCCCATTCTGAGCAAAGCCCACTCTCCCTCTTATTTCCTACCACATTCCCCTTGCTCACTCAAATGTCACCGCCTCAGTCCTGGTAAATCCTTTTTTTTTTTTTTTTGAGATTTTATTTATTTACTTTAGAGAGAGAAAGAGAGAGAGCGTGCACGTGCACAAGCCAGGGGAGAAGTAGAGGGAAAGGGAGAAGCAGTCTCCCCACTGAGCAGGGAGCCCACTGGCCACACTGGGCTTGATCCCAGGACTCTGAGATCATAACCTGATCCAAAGGCAGATGCTTAACCGACCAAGCCACCCAGGTGCCCCTTAGTCCTGATACATCTTTAGAAAATGTCAACATCCCTCTCCATCCTTTTTCTTGCTTTACTTTTTAATAATGATTCTCACTACCTGACCTTTCACACCTCTTTGGTCACTTGTTTGATTCCTTGACTAGAATAAAGCAAGGACTTTTACCACTGTACCCCAGCATCTGGAGGCTTGGAAAGTAGGAAACACCCCCAAAATATTTGTGGAACATCCACTCTTGCATCCTTCAGGCCATTCTCACAGAGCAGCCAGGTTAAATCAGACTGATTTCTTTATAGTAAGGAGATGAAAACAAGGCTCTTTTTCTCTTTCTTTCTTTCCTTCCTTCCTTCCTTCCTTCCTTCCTTCTTTCTTTCTTTCTTTCTTTCTTTCTTTCTTTCTTTCTTTCTTTCTTTCTTTCTTTCTTTTTCTTTTAAGATTTTATCTATTTGTTTGACAGAGACAGACACAGCAAGAGAGGGAACACAAGCAGGGGGAGTGGGAGAGCGAGAAGCAGGCTTCCCGCTGAGCAGGGAGCCCAATGCAGGGCTTGATCCCAGGATCCCGGGATCATGACCTGAGCTGGAAGCAGATGCTTAACCACTGAGCCATCATGCACCCCCCAAATTATAACCTTTCAAATCTATAAATCTCTTCATTTCTTTTAGATTTAAAAATATCTACCTTTTTCACTTTTTACTTCTCTTAGGTCAATATTTCATTATTTATGCTTCTATTCTTCAACTTTGGTTAGTAGAGATGGTGCACCATGGGCCCTGAGCATCACAGTGTCTTCCTTTTGGGTATGCCAAGATACAAGGCCTTGGCCATACTTTTCTCAGGCCATTGCTCAAGGTTGTGTTCACAGAGAAAAATGTTTAAGATTGAGGTAACATCTTCCCCAGGACAAAGAGCAGGCTTGCTTCCACTTAGCATATAAGCGGTTGATTCCTCAAGCTCAGTGTTCCCCAGCTGTGACAAAAACCCATAGCTTCTACCTGGGCATCTACCTGGGCCTCTGCTATACTGACTGCCCTGTGGGCC